TTAGCATGGTGAACAAATCTTCAGGGACTGGCAGTGAGTAATAGCGTTGTTTAAAAGCTCATTAAGGCGTGTATGTGAGTGCATATGAGTGTTGTGACATTTGCCTTCTTGATGACCACAATGAGTGTTGCCCAAGCAGGATAGGAAATAGGCGTAATAACCCCTTGTAGTTGGAGGCGACTATGACCACCAAATTTCATTTACTAACTAAGCATCAGAAATCCTCGCTCATCGATATCTTTCTAGAGTCAACTTTCAAGCTCCAACTTTGAGACCATCTAACTAATTCTTCTGAACCAGCTCGGAGGTCGAAATGTTCAGCCTCACTGTTTATTGTTTTCCACATTTTGACATTATCTACAAATAACAATGTCGGGGACTTAATAAGTCACCGTAGAGAAGAAAAGCAGATCACCTGAGATAGTGCCTTGGCGTACATTGCTTTTGACCAGCTTCCATTCAGATGATTCCCCATTTACCCTCACTCTCTGTCTTAAGCCACAAAGGACGTTTCTTATTAATTCCTCTACAGTACCTGTCATTCCAAAGCTCAACAACTTCTGCATAAGTCCTATGAGAGTAAGCTTTCCGATCGAACTGATTCCATTTTCCGAAACGCCTGTTTATTATTATTCCTTAAAGCTCCCAAATGCCCTATTACGGCCTAGAATTTCGAGAGAAATTGTCTCACACAGCCACGCGTATACAGCCTCTGCCAAGGAAGTCCTACTAACTGCTTTCTCAAACAACGCTGAAATGACCTTAAGAATGTTTGCCTACTTACTAAGGCCAAAATAGTGTTAGAAACTAGTATGAGGAGGCCGGATTAGTGTTAAGAGTTGGAAGTTAGTATTCGGAATTAGAGTTAAGGCTTTCATTACGAACTAATATCAGGTATAATGTTAAAATGCTATTTAGCCTTACAGATGAATGAATTTCGAGTCAAAATCCAGTATTCATTGTCTCAAATCCCATTAGTTGGTCCACAAATAATGGTTCACCGAAAGTCTTATTGAGATTAATAAGTGAGTATCTGTTTGGATATGATTTTCTTGTTTACATGAAGCAATAACTGACGAAACTGAGTCTGCTATAAAACTAACTACAGTCAAGTTTATTTGTTGCCTAAGTTTAATCACTTGAGACTGCACTGAATAAACAACATACTGGATCACTATATTCACTAAAGACGCCGAATATAATTGAGAAAACCCAAAGCCGATGAGAGCTTCAAAACAAAGCTTATCCAAAGTGTAATAACTTGGAAACAAACATTAAAACGTAAAATAACACAGTGGTATGAAAAAAAAGAAAATTGATGATAAAGCTACAAAAAGTATACATATTAAACGACAAAGTGATAACAAATGGAATTCCATATTTTCTGCCTGAACCTTCCTTTGGACAATCACAGCAAATAAAGTTCACATATATAATGAATAGTCTCCTGCGTATTTGGCGCCGATGGCATGAAGACAAGTCTTAGTCCAATAATGGTTTCAGAGTTTTCTGGGTCAATAATCCCAAGCAGTGCAGAACTGCCTAAAATGATACACAGTAATATTATACTCTTCAATCAAAATCTATGGTCAACAGTTTAGAACAGAATTACTTAAGTAGGAGTTTATTTGCACGTCAGAGAAATTGCGGAGGAAGTAGACATTGATTAACGAGTGAAAAGTGATCACAGTTGATACAGATCAACAGCACATCTTTGATTTAAATATGATCACATTTACAAAGTCATGCAACGACAGAAATGATTTAGCATTTTATAGTACATACAAAAAGTGTTATATTTACTTGTCATCATAGAACTCCTTCCCATAAGGTCATACGAATTATATTTACACATAATTGATAATACAGTGAATACAATAGTAACACTGATATAGACGGATAAATGAAAAGATTTTTTCTACAAAAATTTTAGTACAAATACGTTGCTTCAGTTTGGGCACCCGAGCAGCATTACAGCCCTCACACAAATCAAATGAGATTTGTGTGGCGCATATATGTTTGTTGACCCTTTATACCAATATTTATGTGTTTAAATAAAATAAAATAAAAATTATTCCTTAAAGCTCCGCACTTACGTAGACTGAGTTATCGGTTGAATGTGAAACACTACAAACCATGCCGAGTAACTACCAAAGAAAACGAATATTTGATCCTTACGGTAATACTTTTCCAACCACGGGAAATATGATAAGCACTTTTGGTTGAAGTTTACAACTTACAGTTTATTTAGTATCTCGTTTTAAACGTCACGTAAAACAGTGATTTGCACAAAGTTCGCGTATCAATGACTCTTAGGTTATTCACATTAAGTTGTTTTCGGGATGCTATCAATTTTAAAACGAAGACGGTTAGGTTCAGTAGAGCAATTGGTATGAGAAATGAAGTTACCAAGCAACAATCGCGCTAATGTTTACAGAACAAAACAGAGTAAGGTAGTTGCTGTTCTTCACAATTATTTTTCGATCTCTGTGCAGCAGCGGACTACTGAAATATGAAAAAACCTAAAATCCATGTAGCCCAACAGATAACCAACTTACACGCAGCAATTGAATTAAGAAATGGCCATACAAGGTCGTTCAAACGGAACGGCGGGCTGCTTTGGGTGTGCCTTATTTTTTGACGTCCCGTGGTGGTTAACTCCGGAGGTTAGTCGCAAACAAGATATCCGCCCTCGTCGTCCATATGCTCTTTATCATATTTTTAGTGTTCTAAGAATTTAGCAGACCCAGGACTACAAGTTCCCACAATTTTTAGACATCGTACGAAGCGTCTTCACAGTGTAGTGAAAATATGTCAGTCTTCAGTCGTAATGATATTAAGTGTGTCGACCTATAATAATCCTCCCAGTTTGTAATACTGTGGGGATCCAATTTCACCTTGAGTATATCACAAGAAGGTGCTGATATTACGTGTCCTGGTCGAGAATTCTAGTAATTCATTACTCGGAGCGAGGAACAGAAGTACAGACAAAAATGATTTGACCTCGGTTTTTAACTTTTTTAAAATTTCCTCTCCAATAATCAGTCTTAGATAGAAGGAAATGATTAGACATATTATTACAAAGGTCATTGCTCAGTATGCGGTAAGCCAATATTAGATCTCCCAGTAATATGCGGTTAGATAATTTTATTAAGTTGAAGTGTCTCGGTCTGTTTTCTTCAGGTAGTTGGACATGTTCTAGCGTATGCGCCTCATTCTTGAGACAAAGACTCGATGCCTGAATCCCATATTCCAGACAAGGCCTCACGAAAGTCTTGTATGATACTTCAAGCACTTTGCCCAAGTGCTGGAAAGACCTACGAATATCCCATAGTACCTTTAAGCTTTTGGAAGCAGCAGCCCTGCTGTCGCTTATAGTTTCGAGATCGCAGTTTATCATGACTGTTATATCTTTATAGTCCATTACTTTAGGTAACAACTCCACATATTGCATAGTGATATGAATTGTCGTAGTTATTCAATCACATGACATTATTGTTAAAACGACCACCTTCCCATCCATGCAAACAGTGAATTGAGATTATCCTGTAATATTATTCTATCAGACATACTGTGTATGGGTCTTCAAATCTTTGTCATCGATGAAGAGTAGAACGGATGACTTTGCTACAGTTGGTAATTCATTTACATAAAGTAAAGAAAGAAAAGGACCAAGGGATGTACCTGGGGGGAACTCCACTTTTTACACGTCTCCACTGAGAGAATTCCGTCATTGAGAAAGTCACTCATCCGGTTCATGATTTTATGATGGATCCCAAAATATCCCAGTTTTAATTTAAGAGCCGAATGAAAGACCTTGTCAAAGGCTTTATATAGATCCATGAAAATCACATCCGCAGAAATATTTCTACACTTTTCTGCAAAGTCAGACTTACATTTAGCGGTTGTAAGATGCTATTTTATAATTACAATAACAAATAGACTCAGCTCGCTTTCATCATTATCTATCCTTGTTACAAATTTAATTTGTTGCATATTTAAAATTGTTTGACTAATACAACCCCTGGTTTAGTACGAAGTTATTATTTGTTGAGTGGATCTAATTTAAGAGGCAAAGCATTTTCAACAAATATTGAGTTGTTTCACGTCTGTAAATCCTTCATTCAGTGTATGAGCAAAAAATTTCGATTAGCGGCACATGGTAGTGGGTAGCTGCAAAAGTAATTTGAGAAATTAAACTTGCTGGTTCACAAGTCTCATCTAGAAACTTTTGTATCATAATTATCAGGCGTGGTGTGTGCGCTCCTATTATGCAGAAGGTTTACTACCTCAGATTTCTCTGAGTTCTCTCCAAATTAGTTATTGGTATAATTACCATCATTTGTCCTGATCAAACGAGTCAGAATAGTAACACACCGTTCGAATGACGTAGTGTACTCTATAGTAAAAGTGACTCATGAAATAGGAGAAAATCCGATACAACTTAACTAAATGTTTCATACACATCTCAGTTATACACTTTGACCGGAGGCATAATGAACACAAATATTTGACTAATGTAAATGTAGTTTAGCTGATAAGAGTGCTTGATCCACCATTTATCAGTAATGTTAAGGATTACCGGTGAAGCAATGCTTTATGAAGACATGCATAGAAACTACTTGTTTGAAAAATGACTACTAAATGTGTATAAATTCTTTCGTGCATTCAAAAGTATAATCGTAAAGAGTGCTCACATTTCTGCAGATTAATTCAACTAAACGAGCATTGTCGACTAAAATAAAAGAGACTTGAACCACCCCTTCTAGACAGAAGTTAACGTAATATCTGGTCAGCTGAATCTATAAATATATTCCGATTCAAGCTAATGATAAATGGATCTCACGTAAACAAACTTTAGTCTCTTGCAATGTTTCTTATGATTCAAGTTTACTGATAAACTGATTTTTTCAGGTTCTCCAACTCAGTATTTTAATCACTGAACCCCTACCATCTCTTAGTAGGTGCATCCTACCCAATCCTTAAAGGGATCACCTGCTATGTCGAACAAACGCAAATCCAACACAAAAGATGAATCATCTGATTCTTCCCTTTCAGATCTCGAGGAGGTATTTTCATATATTATTTATGGTACTTTTAGCCTGTTGTAACCAAAAAACCTAACAAGTCAAGTGGCTCCACGAAGTCATCACACACGACTACATCAGGCGGAGACCAGCTAATAGACTTAACTGGAAAAAAGTTCGCGTGTGTAAGAGAGTTCAGAGGAAAAGCGTTTGTTGATATAAGGGAGTACTATGAAGAAAAATCCAGTGGAGAGTTAAAACCTGGAAAGAAAGGTAAGCGAATTAGACCTACCAACTATAAAAATGTTATGTATGTGTGGGCAAACACATGTAACAAAATTAAACTTAACAGTAAATTCAGCATATCTATACATACACTTTACTTTTTATAGATGTCAGATTTTGTCATGTATTAGGCGATTGCAATATGATTTTGTTTGGCTTAATGCAGTATAGTAAAATTACCAATTAATGATCTGTCAATCATATAAAACTTGAAATCTAACACACTTGCGTCAGTTCAATTTGGAAAGCACAGTAGAACTGGTGGTCTGAAAAGTGCTGACTTCCTGCTTACAGTTCATGGATAAGAGTCGCAATTGATAGTGGAAAACGATGTGATATCGCAGTTGAGGTCTGCGGATACTTATTTCAGGTCGTATATCGGTTATGACAGACTAATATGGTTCAAAGTCGGTCTTACCAGCACATATCATTTTAAGTGGAGAAACAGGGTGCTACGCATATTACTAAAATCCATGTGTTTCCATGAAATAATTCAGTCAGTTACAACGTAGAACTTCGTACGTACGTACATCAGTTCGAGTTGCCATACCACATTAGCACAGAGATGAAGTTGTCGATTCAAATCCCATAATGGTAGAAGTAGTAAGAGTATAAGCAGTAATCGGAAATAATTAATCAAAGATGTTTAGTTTTCCTAAACCAAGAAATATGTTGGTGTAGATGTATTATCTCAGTGTATTCAACTTCCTATATTAAATAAAAATTACTTAATTGTTATCTTTCTGAGAACATCTGTTCTTTATTTTTATTCAATAGAATATCACATAACTAATTTATTCAGTGCTGGTTTATTTATCCTTCCTTAAGCCACTTCTTGTCCGATAGCTAATGATGATAGACGGGTGCCTAAACTGTTTTTGGTGAGATGAGGTTCAAACTTATAACTTATGTAGCTTAAGTCGACCCATATCCCGCAGACCCAATTTATTTATTTAAACGCATATATATTGGTACAAAGGGGCACCGAATACATATGTGCCGCACAAATCTCATTTGATTTGTGTGAGGGCTGTAATACTGCCCAGGTACCCAAACTAAAGCAGGTGGTTTTATTAGGGGACCACACCGCGAGCCTTCGACCTAAAGGTCTGATCCACAGGGCAGTGACGCATCGTGAAGGGATGCAGTCCCATGATAGCCGGTGACCAACGATTGGTTCATACGCCATTTGTTCCTTCAGGATCCTAGAGCCCATGTGCACCATTGGTTTGGAATCAGAGTTTTCCAACTCCCATAAGTGGACTTTCCGTGTCCACCGACCTGGTTAAAGTGCCAGACATTCGCTTTCGGTCCTCTTAATTTCGTAAACACCACCTACAACACGAGAAAGCAGTTAGTAGGACTTCCTTGGCAGAGGCTGTATACGCGTGGCTGTGTGAGAGAATTTTGAGGGGGGGGGGTGGCCCCTCTGGCCGTACCAGGGCATTTGGGGGCCAAGTCTATTACGACAAATTTAAATCAGGTAACCGGATGTTAACATTTAAACAACATTCTCGTTGTCGATTACATAGAGTTGTTCTTGGTAAATTAATTATGCGATTAATTATTGTTACATTTATCATGTACCCTTGAAATGTGTTCATAGGAATTTCCCTTAACTTGGAACAATGGGAGTATTTGAAAAGTTCCATCGGTGAATTAGATGATGATATAAAAAATCTGCGACGATAACTCTTCAAAAGAACCACTGCCTCAAGATGTTTATCCAACCATATTTTTGATACATTCCCGGTCAGCTTAATAGTAATAACTATTGCTTTGTTAAAATTTGCCCAAAAACTTTTGTTATTAAATTCAAAGATTGCATTTTGTTACTTTTTATTGAAAAAATACAATTTACGGAGTTCTATTTTTTCAACTTGATTGCTTTCGTGTGTTTATTCAATACAGACTGCAGATTTTTGATCGTAAATTTCTTCGACTTGTTACTCGCATATCGTGAAGTGAACAAATGAGCGATCTTGAAACTAAGGCGGTAAACCTGTTCATTCATCTGTAAATTTCACCGACTGAGGTCATTGGGACATTTTCTATGGATGTCTAACTACCTCCTACTTCAACGAGCCATGCTTTCTAGTGTATGAAGTTGGAAAGCTAGGAAAGACAAACAAGTCATTGGTAGTCGATCTAAGCCGTGTTAATAATCCCAGACTACCAGCTTGGAGTTTGCGTAATATCCGCCATCAGTGTTTGAAGACATTGGGAGGGACAGCTCATGATCATTCACAATGGTGCTCTTCATCTTTCTGTCGATCTTCAATTCCTTCATACATATATTTTCACTTCTTTTTTGAACCATTTAATTTTTAGTGTTTCATTAAAATTGCTACATTACTTTAGTCTCTCGCTATTCATTTTATTTTCATCTCATGCTATTGTAATTTGGCAACCTGAGCCAATACATGTGTGCCAGGCTCTATAGTGATGTTCGTATGCCAATGCAGTAGCAGAAAATTGTAGAGAAGTGAACGTCTATTATTTTTTCTCCCAACACATGCAAACTTACTGGTGAGGTTTGTTGACTGACTCTTCAAAGGGCCAAGTATACTACCTTGCAGTTCTTTGTTTTGCTCTGTATCTGGCTTCTATTTCACCTTCAAAGCTTTAAAAATTAATGTTGTAATCACTGTGAACAATGTTGAAATGAGACGCAGAGTACTAGAGAAAGATCATAAATCAACTGATAGGATTTCAAATTTTCACCGAATGAGGCGGTTTGGAGACGTACTTTGCATTCTGAACAACCATTTATTTCGAAATGCAACGTTATCTGGCGTGGTTGCAAACAGGCTAGGGCCCCCAAATTGTAACGGTGTGATTACACGTGACCATAGACTGTTAGACTGAGCCATGTTACTAGGTCCAGGCTACCTGGTTGTGCAGCCGGTGATTATTGGTTAGAAATGTTGGGTAACAGCTCAAAATCTACCACAATTGTCTAGATGGACTCTCCTTTATCGTCCACAGAATATCGAGCTCTAATATACCGATATCTAATCTTACCATAACCGCAACTATTGTTTCGACTTGTTAAACATTCATTTTATGTAGTAAATAGTATCGTGTCACCTTACTTGTATAACTTAAGTGACTACGCTATGTACGGCGACTGTAATTCAAAATAAAAAAAACTTGTAATACTTACCGATACCAATACATTTTGTTAAATGTTGAGTTTCTTGTTCTATATTTATAACAACAAAAAATACTTCGTACTACGAAGTGATAGGATTGTAGACAAGTAAGTTAAAGGAAATACATATGTAGAAGTGTACATTGGAATAAAAACAACTAAATTATGTTTAACTCTAAAGAAATGTTATCATCAGTACTTGTTTTGATTCGGGTCTGATAATGTCTAGTGCTATCTATGAGGCAAGGATAACAAACGTCGGGGGATGAAGCACACTCACTTCCTTTTGTATTAATCAAATGCGTACGCATTAATTATGTGGTTAAAATGTTTGACGAATGTGATTGTGTCACGTACGTATTGACCTATTGTAGTAATAAAGACGAATGGAATAAGTGAGGCAGATCATGACATAATCTGATCATAATGAAGGGTGTATAAAACTCCTAGTTATCTCCAAAATTATAGTCGGAGTTATGAAAAAATGAAAACCTTTCTATGGTCAAACGTCTTATTGAACGGTGGTAACGAGGCCAACGTTGAGAACTATATTAGAACTAAAACTCAAATAAACAATGAGTGACATAGTAACTACATGAAAGGTTGTCGGAAGTTTTAGCTAAACCGAGCAAGATATTTTGAATACCACTGAAGACGATTAGTGAGAACGGCAAAATGCTCACATCTACATTCCTATGGAAAACAAAATCACTTGGTGTACATTAAGATGACGAACGCTGCAGCCTACTTTACGAACACTTATGCGGTATAGTTTACCGGTTTAAGCGTCGTTAGCACTTGGAAAGCTGACACATAACAGAAATGCTAGTTGTAAGCCGGCAATGGTAAGCTAACTCCGCACAAGGAACGACTTATGTTTAGACCTAAGAAATGATAATTTCCATACTTGGCTACAACCAATAGAACTCTTAGTAATTTTCTGCACTAGAATAAACTCAACACTGTCTTTTAGCCTATTTAACCTTTCGTTAACGTATTATGACTTTCGTGTCTAATATTTTTCTCCAGATTTCAGCGCGATTGTCCCATGTTTTTAATTTGATGTTGGGCAATTCATCTTTCCCGATAGCTGGATATTTCGAAAATGGTATAACGAGAACCTAGTTCACGTACTTCCGTAGATCATCGCGTTAAAACTGGGAAGAGTTTTTTAGAGTGTGAATCCCCTAATACAACCAAAATGTTTCGACTTTCATACGTTTTGTATATATATATATATATATATATATATATATATCCTTTCAGGATACAATATAATACTTTTAGCACATGTAACAACAACAATGGATTAGATGCATAAATACCGTTGACTATTTCACATTACTCCATGTTATCAGCTACAAGACACGATTCTCGCCGTTACCAGTTCCCCTCCTCTTCTATCTCACGTTTAACATTGCTGAAGTTACCTGTTAAAATGTCAGTCCGTCATTGATTCGATGAGTTACCAAAGATATGGGTAATAACCGTATTTTTATGAAGATCACGAATGCTATGTCGATGATTCAGATTTCTGTCACGTTGGGACAAACTAATCAAATAGTTTACAGCTATACTGCCATTGTCTTCCTAGGATATTTATCATTTTATTACAAATAAATGAGGTTCAATATTAAGAATGAAATGTTAATTAACCATCCTAAACAGAAAGTAAGGAAGATACTTTGGTCCACATCGCTTTAGTTGCACTTCTTGAAAATTTCGACATCACCTAGCATAACTATTGTGAGCCAAACATAAATTGATGAAATTTCTTATAGATACGACTCATAATTATAATATGTAGCTAAATAAACGAGAAATAACTCCCAGATCTCAGAGGGTTGAATGATAATCTTCAACAAATGTCAGTGATGTAAGCATAAAACATTAAGCCAATGAGTGGCGGGTTCGACTGCTACTTAACCTTATTAATTTTCGCGTAACAAGGTTATACTGGCAAAATTTACGATATAACGCATCATGCATGACTATGAAAACAGAGTTCTAAACCGACAAGTTGCATTTCACTTTACCAATATAAAGTGACTATACATGTTATCTACCAATCTGTCTTAATTAACACGTTTTAAAAATCCTAGAATGGTAGTGATTGGAAAACTGCATGAAAGGAAACGACTGACTATTAAATGATAGCTTACCATAAGGTACTCATTTACAGAGAATGAATTAAAACCAAAAGGTAGAAATCCATTTTACAAAAAGTCGACGGATATGAAATAAAAGCAGTTCAATGCTTGTACTGTACACAAATAAAATACAAGTGATTATCATTATTGTAGTAATAAAAACAGTGTTAATTGAACTAATTTGCACGAAATCCGTGTGCATATCTGAAAAACAAGGGGAAAGACTTTTCATACAATTGATCACATGGTGTCTGAAAGTGAACTTCAATATTACCTCAAAACAGTTCACAAAAATATTGAAGTAGATAAACAGGTTAACAGTTAGGAGTCTGTTTTCATGAGAAACCACATGTGTATAAGGAATGTTATATGCCAATGGGAATTAATACAAGCAAAATAAGTAATATTGTATGTGAGACCAGAGTAAGAAAATGAAACGAGTCTGAATAAAATAATCGGAGAAAAATACATTAGGACAACTGTATAAGAAAATGACTCCTCAAGTCATTTATTATATTGTTACTATTATTATTATCCGTACTTATTTGGAGGACAGAATACTACACCAAAAACATAATACATGGACTTATTTAACAATGGAATAGCTTTATCCATAAAGAAATAGCTACATTGGTGTTGGAAGGGTAGGAAGCTCAAAACTCCATAATATCATGCATCCTTGTTGAGAACGAACAACATTTCTGGTCTTGTCAAATCAATATCAAAAAATGATGGTGGATCATTCTGACATTTAGGAGACCAATCTGTAATCACTTCAGGCTCATCGCAATCCATCTTATTATCAGGAGTATTTACGTAGTCTTCCACATCAGATTCTTCAAATGGTTGACATGGTATAATACGTTTAGGAAAATTGGATTGCACTTCGAATTCTGTTGGTGAATCATCCTGAGATAATATGAAATAGTAGAGCAGCTGAAAAAAAGAGTAATAATATTGAGTGTACGGATGATTAACTTGACACAGCACGATTCGAAATGAAATATTTTGTAAGAAAATCACTGAAAACTACCTTGATAGAATCATTTAAGTTGAAGATGCGAGAAACTCTGGAACCATGTGGCATTTTGAATGACAACTGTACCGTAGATCCCTCTTCAAACTTAGGTGGTGGTGGTAACCTATTTTTCCATATACGCTTGCGATTAATATGAGCTTTTTGTAGATCCTCCTTTCGTTTTGCATCTTTGGCTAGCTGTTCCGCTTCTAAAGCAGCACTTCGTTGCTGTGCCTCTCGAGCAGCCATTTTAGCTCGATCCTCAGCAAGTGATGCCTCATAAGCTAAGTCTTGCTCACGCCTCAATTGAGCATTCATTTCTCGTTCGCTCCTACAAAAAGAAGGAGTGGGGCGTAATATAATGAAGCTAATAGGAAGTTTGGTAAAATTAAAACTTAACGACCGATTTCTTAGCTATATCAAAAATACAAAACTTGACAAGATATGGTTTGAACTCTGTGACCAGTACTGTAACAGTCTTTTAAGTTTCTTTATTCACCTGTGAAGTTTATACTTTTCGCATATAAGTTAAATGCATCAGAATAATAGTTGAAGGTATCATGAAAAGCTATCTTTCTTTTTTGAGTGGATACTTACACCCCTTTTTGTAAAATTAGTTTGATTTGTAAAAATTTAGCCTGAAAGCATAAAAACAAGAGAACGTTCTAACTATTCAGAAAAACCAGCTTTACACTACTCGGCTAAGTAGACTGCCAAGAGTGATAATAACTTAACTGTTATGAGAGAACTAAAATAATTGAAATTAAACAGTTAGACAAATCGATATGATGTCTATCACAGATGTCCATTAGCGCAATTTTTCATGCCTGATTAGTACGACGAGAATAAATAACAAAAGAGATTGATATAACAGAGTGGGAACGATGAAAAAAGAAATACTAAACCGCGACAATATGATATTAAAAAACAATAAGGTATGCATGAAGGAATAGAATAATTCAAGTACGAAGGGAAGATAAAAAGTGATTGTATATGCGCCATCGCAAATGATTCTAAGCTAAGTCACCAAATGAGCAATTAATTGGTAAAATTCCAATCAGTCACCCGCAACGCAGAACATGGTACGTACGTACACTAGTTTAAGTTGTCATACCCCATTTACACAGGGAGATGAAATTGTTAGGGCGAATTCCAGAGTAGCAGAAGTAATAAAAGTATCAATGGTAACAGAAAAGACTAGGCATTGAAGCTACAATTCAAGAAAATATAAATTAGTGGAGTATTAAAAAAATGTAAGGGGAATTTAGAAACCAAGAGCAGACAAAAAGTGAATGCACCTGCGCCATCGCAAACTATTCTGAACCATGTCATTCACTATCTAACCATTGATTACGACAATCACACAGACCTGAACTAGGTGGTTTACACCTATTAGCATGCCTCAGTCCAATCGGCAGTGGCTTCATGGACTGATGCCATGCTGTGGTTTGGTTGCTCTTGGCTTTCTTTCAGTTTATTACAACCACACAGCATCGCTGGTAGAGGTAAGTAGCGGTTGGGCATACGTAACATATGTCTTAACCACCTAATTTGGTCATTTACTACCGCATCAATCGATTCGGTAACCCTACCTAGTACCCTATTTCTAACCAAAGTAACGCTTACTCAGTGATCCCAAAAGAGATGATTGCTGTTTTGAAGACTGATAACCTGCGAATATCCTCTACTCTTAATGGCCATGTTTCACATCCATAAAGTTGGATGGAGAGAACTGATGCGCAGCAAAATCGTCCTTTGGTTGGCAGACAGATATCCTATCTACGTCACAAGTGATGTAAGTTTGCAAAAGCTAATGAGCCTTCTAGATAGCCATGCATATAAAGATTAAAATTTGCTGTGTGAGAATTGTGAGTTACGTGGTTTTATGTCTTCCTGGATTCATGCAACATAAACAGACGGGTTACGTTCGCGAAATTAGTATGGAAAAAGATCATTGAAAACGACAATTTGTAGATACTGAAAACTACAAGCAATGTAATAATGCTAGTAATGTAATGAACAGAACATAAGTTGGGGACAATCGAATGTATTTAAGCACAAATTACAGACTATCTCGCTAAATTCTGATAATCATACAGCAAACAGTTAATTTGAAAAAATAACAATCGATTGTCTCAATCTTCACTGTTCCCTCCGTAAATATCAATCCATCTCCCATAATTTCATTGTCTATGCATTTTCCTACCAATTGCGCTTCATTTCAGTTCTTTCCTTATCGGTCTTCTGCCAAAATACATTCTATGCCTGACCATCGCCATATACTATTTATGAGGATATCAGTAGACCATACCACAGTAAGGGTTTTTAGAGGAAAGAACCCATCCAAGACAGCGGAATATTTGATACGTTACGGAAGGAAACCCATCAGTGGGTTACAAATGACTCAAGAATTGATTAAGCAACAAGTTTACGTCAAATCCAATTATCAAGATTGAGTCAAATAAGGACATTTGCGCTGTCGAAAGTTCTTTTATTTCATACTTGCTTGCCGTTAGATTGTGAGTGAATAAAAATCAGTAAATTTGTTAACCGACTTACTAATAAATAAAATAAGGAATGAAGGAGAAATCTTGTTCCAATAAACTGCCTGTATACCATGAGACTTGTCTGCATAGTTTTAGGCAATTATTTATGTGATACATATTAAAACTTTTTTGTTATAATAATGAGTTGATATGTACTATAAATAACAAAAGCAATTTTCAGATGGCATAAAAGATTTCGTAGTGATACATAATTTTTTTACATTTATTAAACTATTGATGTGAGTTGAGTAGCATTAATCAACCAGCTTAAGCTAAATAAAATTGACATAAATCTCTAGCACAAATTCACTCGGTTATTCACTCATTTAAAAGAGTCATTTTAGGGGATTCAGTATAAAATATAATATTTTTAATAAAGGAATACCAGATTATTTGTCTTTAACTCATTATTAGATATTGTAGATCACACAAACATCCGAATATTGATTAACAGAAGCAACAAGTTGTTTCGTATTTATTTAGCTATGTAAAAGGCTATACCATATAAAAATAGATTTATCGATAACATACAAAATAATGAAGTGTAAATTCATAGATTAAACTGTTATATATATATATATAAGAACTGGTTATAAAAATAACCGACTACCTCAATACACAGTAGATAAAGAGATAGTATATACGATGAATGTAAAACTGAATAGCTACTTTTTATGTATATAACGATAGCGTCTATTACAACAAACTTTCCAACTAGTGAATAAAAATAATATTGATAAGTCCGTAGAAAGACACCAGATCACTACAATAACACATTTAACTATCATTCAGATGAATAGTTTATTCTTCAAAATACACTATTCTTTTCTGTTAATTAAAAACTCAAGTAATACGAATTACATACGTAAGTCTGCAAGTAAAAGAAAATTCACCACAACAAAGTTACAATTGCATGCATACATACAGATCTCATCAAGTGTACATTACAAGTCACTCAGCTACAACGTATGACCAGACACACATATGCATTGGTCTAAGTTGTCATACCTCATTAGCACAACAAAATGAACACCAAATTTATAGAAGCAGTTGCTTCAATAGTAGTAATATATATATATATATATATATATATATATATATATATATATATATATATATATATATATATATATATATATATATAAAGATTGCAAATACGAGCATGATACAGGGAGAAAGAATAAGACCGTGGGAAGGTGTACAGTAATTTTAATCTCATGTTGCAAAGGTAGACAAAAATTGTATGCACCTACGCCATTGTGATCGATTCTAAGTTATGTCACTTAGAGTCTCCAACCATGAGTCACACGGACCCCAACTAAGTAATGTGCTGCTATGTTTGAAGAGATTACGAGTCCAGATAAATCTGAGAGCGGAACAAAGACTCAGCGACCCAATGACCAAATAAGCTAACTATTCCGATGCATCCCAGCCCCGGTAACTAGGGAGAAATTCAGGTTCAGAATAAAGAAAATGTATTCCACAAACAGTCAGAAACACGAACAACAACAAGCAAAACTCAAGCGTATATATACAACATAAAAATGTCCTTGGGAGACGTTACAAAATAGCATATTACATGAAACTATGACATTTAATGTCCTCCCATGTGGGAAATACGACATGAAGACAAAAAGGGCGCTTTTGGCGCGAAAACAAGAAGTTCAAATTTCCAAAACAAATCAACAGAAATAAGACGTTCACCAAGTGAGCTTTGGGGATCTAGCATCTTCAACGTCTGCATCTACCAACATGACTCAGACCAGAAGTTAACAACTTTACGGACTGGTGCCACGTTTTTGACTGGCCCTAACTTTATTCTGTTTGTCTCCAACGCTAGTCAGTATTGTGTGCCGTGGTAATCGGTGGTTCAGCATCCATAGTGCGTGGCACAACCATCTCAGTAGATGAAGATTCACAACCTCATCAACTGATTTATCATCATTCCTTAATATCCTGCGTCTCACCTCACCTCCAGACCGTTGCTGCTACCTTGACGTGGTGGTCGGGCTTGTCTATCTTGATGAAACAATCGAGCTACACTGGCTGGGACAATCATTCGTCAAGGTCTTATCATGCCAGGCAGGTCGGTTGGAGAGCGATAAGACTAAAAGCAACAAGCCCGAGGTTCGAAGGTGAAGTCGTACTGTTGACTATACAGAGCTGTGACGGCAGTAAGGTGTTTCCTTCAGACAACCAGTATAACAGTGACGCTGCCTTCTCATAAAGGAAAGGTTGAGTTAGAAAAGGTCGACCCTAAAAGTGCGCACCTCACCCTATCCTACAAACATCGGTCTCCGCGTTAAGGTTTCAACAAGTATGGAGCTAATACAAAAATTACTCACGAAAAGGTCGTGTGTGACTGGCCTCAAGCAGTTGTCCCTTGGGCACTGCGGTCACGCTCTCAAGTCACTAAAACCACTTCTAATCCAATTTCCTTTTCAGGTATCTCTAGAAGAACCCTTCCACGGCATGGGCGACCGGAAAGTGATAACTGCCCTCATACCTCTAACAGCACTCAAGACCACTGTATTCATAATCAATCTCCTTCTTCAATTCCTACTATTCCTTCTACCTTGACTTTCAACACTAAACTTCCTCTTTCGGCTTCCTCCTCAAGTGTCACCATGGCCAACGATTCTAGTGCGCAAAACACTGTCCCAGGACTATTAAAACCTCCCTCCAAACTACACTTTGGAGCCTTTAACGTATGCACCCTATGTCAAATGGGAAATCAGACCTCCTTTGCTAAAACCCTAGAATCTCGTACCATTGATGTATGCTGTGTCTCCGAAACACGCATACAGGATCCCAGTGTGGTCATTCACTTGACCTCACCTCGCCAAATGGAGAACTGATGAGATACATCCTCCGTGTATTTGGCGACCCGATGAGTAGTTTTCATGGACTTGCAGGTTGCTATATCTTGTGGCCGAGTGGATGCGCTTGTTAACGTATGACGTGATAAGACCGCCAATCAGAGAGCAGCGAATTATCGATTGGAACAGTGACACATGGAAACCGTACGAGCAGCCTTGAGTACTTATCGGTCCTCCTTTCTGCCTAGCCCAGCCAGTTAAATCCAGAACACCAATCTCAGCCTATGCAATATGAATCATTATTTTCAAACATACTGAGTTCATATACCAATCAAACTGACCACGTACCATAAAATAGAAAATAACATAGGTACAAGATTTAGCCAAATGTGGCTGTGAATAGGGAAAAACGGTAATTAGTAGACAAGGTGTAATTCATGAATGGTAAATCGTATAATAAAAGCCTATGGGTCAAAATAAAGCTTATAAGGGGAACATGAATATGAATAGTTTAGTTATTTAGCAATTATACGATAGAAAAATATATGCATAGTATTGGTTCATAAATAGATCCCAAAGATACCATTCATTATCCCTATCGGGGCATAACACAGGTGTAGGTATAGCACTTAGTACGAGAGCAGAACAAGCACATCTCCATAAACAGCCGCCTATGTACTGTCCGGCTAAATGGCTCCGTAAGAACTCGGAAGGAAAAGGACACACGTCGTTACCTTTTCTTTCGTTTCTGCTAACGCTCGCACTGACTATAGCCATGATGAAGCAAAAGATGACTTTTACAGAAAGCTGTCTGAACTTCTTCATATATTTAAAAGCTCGGACATACTACTCGCAGCGGGTGATTTTAATGCCCAATTAGGTAGCTTAAACCAAACAGAAAGACATTTAGGTGGGTATTTTTGGTATCCCAACTTAACGAAAAGACAATGGTGATCGTCTGTTGCAACTATGCTCAGACAATAGTTTATGTTTAGCAAACACTAATTTTAAGCATAAGGAGAGACATCGTCTAACATGACGACCACCTGCACCAAACCAACGATGGACTCAAATAGATCATATTGCCATCAGTCATCATTGAAGAGGCTAAATAGAAAATTGTCGCCCGTACGGGAATACATGTTTAGACTCTGATCATGCTTTGATACGAGCACGCATTTGTTTGCGTCTCATTGGACGCCGAAAAACTACACTACGAAGACCCATTAGAATTGAACTGGGGGGTGAGAAAGCCAAGAGTAAGCTCCAGGGACAACTGAGTTCACATTTTGACAGTTCTGTAAACGAGGCTGATCCAGATGAATGCATTCATGATCCTATGGCTAACGGAATGAAAAAACTGTCTAGCGATCTCTGGTTTGCAATAACTCCACTTGATATAAATCCATAACGAAAATTAACTTTAAATTACTTTGTTTATGATTCAATTAATTTTTGAACGAAATGGGTCAAACTTGAACCCTGGTGAAACATAATTTAATGAAAAAAGATAAGATATTTTTAGTCGTTCGACCTATCTGCTCAGAAGTAACTCATTAACTATATCCAGACATACGTACTCGATTTTGAATAATACAGTGTTGTATGATGGATGGTGGCACTACTTAGTAGTTCATACTGAATTGGTGTTTGAATCTACGATCTATTATTTGAAAGTTGAGCGTATTAATCATTAACTTACTGCTTCATATCGCATTCGTAAGAATTGCCTACCAAAAAGTTCTGGTTTATAAGTCAACTATACAAATAAAAAAATTGAATGTAATTATTATGTCCTTCATAAATAACAAAATTCCTATTTCACAGCATGAAATCAATCTAGTCTTAATTTTACAATAATTAAGATTGGTGAAATATATTTCATACTTTATTGAGCCTATTACTACTGCTTAAGAAATCTTGCTTCAAAAAACTTTATGTATACTTTACATTGTTACTTTTCTTTTTTATAAAGAAAACTTACCGGTCTAATCGAGCTGTTATTATAGCTGTTTGATGTTCATTCAGTATACTATTTAACTGATTAACAAGTTCTGATGATTCTAATACGCCTTCTATACGCCCTAGTAACGCCATTCGTGTGCTACTCCCGGTATAGATTCCACTTTCCGAAACTGATGAAAATAATAAAAAGAAAAAAATTTTGTTTTGAAACAGTATGAAATTTAACATTTCAATCCACCCCCGCATTTATCAACAAATTATATCTGCATAACGTTTAAATCGGGAATCTAAGTTCAGCACTCAAAGGAATAGGATTAACAAATGAGAATCAGATTTAATCTTAAATTACATTGAAACTACCAGATAGTTTAGTAAATACAAATATATTCAACAGTGATGGGAAAAAAGAATGAGAATTACTCTAAACACAGTATTTATACACGCGAACCTATTTAGTACATTATATTTTTGAAAAAACAGAATATATATATATATATATGTTTTGTATTCATGTCAATCATAGGTAGTGTAGGACCTGGAACAAATATGTACTGGGCTGTTACCACACTTTACGCATACATATAAAGTGATTAGCAAGATGAGAAGTAGGAGAGAAATAATGTCAACTTCAATGGAAAAGTAGACAAGAAAAAAATGGAACTTAAGAACAAAACCCTTAAATGATATAAAAATTCAGAGGCATTGGTTTCCGTATGATGAAACCGATGAGTATACAATAAGCTTAGTAAACTAAGTAAAAAACAGTTAAAAACTTACTAAACATGGGAACTACTGGCTTAAAGTTATGTAGTTCATTTATTTTTTAAGTATATTGAGAGTATTGAATGTATCTATACTAATAAGAGGGACCTTAATTCATATTGTCACATTTTCGCAAAGTTAAAAAACTGAAACTGGTTGATACCGAATTTTAGTTTGAATTTCCGAGCCTAGCTAGGTCCACGAAACATTGTATACAAAAATTTGTTAAGTATGAATATATTTCTGAAAACTACGTTAATGTTAAATCTATGACAATTTTCTCAGCATACAATTTTGAGAACATATTTTCTAACATGATAATACATAATGAATGTTTAGTATTGAATAAGTCAATATTAATTCCTCCGCATGTGAGCAACAAATAACACTCATATTCTACAGTCATTTATGTAATAAGTGATGTATAATCATGATGGTTTTGGTGCTAAGATTTCTTATGTAATGGTTGTTTTTATTGTAAAAGTATGCATTATGTTACCAGTTATGTTGTCTTTTGATATCAGTTCAGTCGAAAGCTTTTATCAATAATGGGGTCTCGTGAGCGGCTACCAGTCGACCATATTTATCACTGCGCATTAACTATTGAACAGTATTCTGTTAATCATTTTGATAATCAAAACGTGGTCACTGCAAATCCAAAACCTTTCTCCATGAAGAATACATAAATATAATTTCCGTAAATTTTAATTTGACTTATTCGGACTGAATCCACAACTTACAAAGGTAGTGTTCAGCTTTTGCCAACAGCTGTAAGACTTAGTCAATCACAGAAACTGTAACATTTAAGAACCTGATGCAGAATTAAATATTACTGCTTACTTGGCATATTAGTCAAGCCAATGACTCCGATGAACGGATATGTATGCTCTCGAAGAGTTCGTGATACACGATAACCTTCAGGAGACTCAATATTACAACCCCAAAATAATAATTCATTGGGATTTCTAAGAAACCGTAAAACATCTTCCGATTGAAGAATATCCCTGAAAGATGAAAGTATCACTAAATTAAGTATTGGAAATTTAACGGATAAATTATTACATAAAGGATATAGTAATAAGTAAGAAAAAGATTTCGATACGGAATTTATTGCAATGCCATCTTTTTTTATTACAAACTATCTAATGTGGGCTAATATGTACATTGGATCGTTAATTCGCATTTATATGACACCTGTCTTCCCTCATTTACATTTATTGACCTTGGAATGAGTTATAGCAACTAACCTACACCCAATTTCTATTATGATTAAGTTTGGTAAGCCCTTTTATTAACTTACTTTACAGACATTGTCATTGGGATAGTAACAATTCGCATATATCTTTGTACTGTTATGATTGCTAGAGCACATGACAGACTTCAGCCAAAACGTTGATAGCTTGAATATTATTCGATGATTCATCTTCCTACCCATATATGTATGCATTCAAATCCTATTATTACCTTTTGCTTTGTCTTGCTGCACCCTTATACGATTTGACTACAAATTTGCCCATGTGATTGCTTGCGCTTGCTCGCTGATACTTACTCATGTGCTTGTGGCTTTGTGGCCCGCGTCATTTGATAGTAAACTGTAGTTGTAGATTCTCTTTGCCTTCTGATTTCATGCACTGTTAGGATTTGTATTATAACGGTTATCGAGGTGAAAGATTAGCGAAGCACTGCACCACAGAGTGAAAATTTTTGTATTGATCGTTTAATTGAGGAGTTTTATCCCTTCACAACCCCCTCAAGCACGAACACGTTCCCAACTCATATGACTAAATATTTAAGTTATGAAATCGTTTAAAGCAAATCAAAGAACTAAATTATTAATTTACAGAGCACTTGCTCAAACTCGAGTGGCTAACATTATTATGTTGGCTTTTTCAATTTTCTAACATGCAATATTTTCAGCGGTGGAAGAAATGTGTAATGCAACCAATTTCGAAAGATTAAATGTTACATCATATAATTCAATATAAACGTCCTTAAGCTCTTAGTTAAATATAACTTTATCAAAAGATCATTATACTGATACGGAAACAACTGAACTTGCTACTATGATGAGGATGTGTATATAAATATAGGTGGTTCTATATAAGATAAATTCAGACAATTGGTATAGATGGAATATAAGTAAAATATTACTTGCAAAACCGATGAGTATCTTCATGTGAATCTCCATGTAAATAAACAATTAGAAATCGTAAACTTTGTTTAGCTTCTTGAACAGCATCGGCATAAGTTCCCTCAAAGAAAGGTGGAAATGAATCAGAAGTAGAATTTTCAGTTGGATTTGAATTGCCATCAACGTCAAAACTAGTATTCACAGGTCCGTAGGTTTCTTTGAAGTGCTGGATAAATTTTGTTACATCACCGGCAGGATCTGTAACCTCTATAAATAATCAGAAATATGGATGTTAACGGTAATGTGGGAAAAAATCAAACAGCATCTAAATTAATTAAATGTTAAACACTCTACCAGCCATGGGCTTATCATTAGCAGGATCTACTTATTCAGTTGGCCTCTGATTGTAACCGAGATTATAATCACGTGATTTTAACTAACATTTGATCGAATGGATGAGAAAAAACTGAGTGAATAACCCAGAAGCATTTGACACATTCGCAAGCTAACACAGAAGGTTAAAATACAATCCGATAGGTCAAATAAAAGCTTGAGATAAAAGGTATATATATGAACTAGTAGTTCAATAAGTATCCGATAAGAATATAATTATTCACGTACTCCTATTACCCCTCGTGGAGGAGCATAGACTGCCCACCAACATTTTCCATCCAACATAATAATAGTCCCCAATAACTCCAAGCAGTTACCATTCATTTATTCTTTGTTCGGATATAACACATATGGCCACGTGTATATAGTCACTACCAAAAAAGTCCCATTCACTGCCGTTACGTGGTGGGGGTGTTGTTTATGAAGTGAAGAGGACGGAAAACGAATGCCCGTTGCTTAAACCGGGTTAGTAGGTACAAATGATACACTTATAACACTTTTGCTTTTCGATCTATTGCTTATCCAGGGACCTTGTGGCATCTTCGTCTGGTTTTGCTGGGGTTAATGTCGCACTAAGCAACAGAGCTAAAGGAGCACTAATCGATTGGATCGACATCAAAAGTCGATTATGTGCTGTTAGATTATAGTGTTATCAAAGTGAGAAGTCAGTGTGGTGTTTTTTCGTTATTTCCGTCAACGCCCCGACAGATTGCAGCTTGGGTGCAATCAATGGTGAGTTTTACCACTAGTTTAGTGATCTTCAGAAAGTGTTTGATAGATATTGTAGTATTAGTCGGATATTTAAATGAGCAAGTAAGGCGTCTAGACACAGAGGAGAATCGTTCGAGCGCCCAATAAAAACTTGTTGGCCGCAAGTTAGATAACGGTGACTATTTACTGCACCTTTGATAAGAATACAACCTGTTGCTGACACAGTCATTGCCGATGTGCTCTCTCTCTCCATCTCAAGCCTGAACTCAGACTGATCACATCACGATTAGCTACCGCAGTACAAGACTATCGCTCTTTTTGGAGTACTTATCTGGACTCCGATCACATCTTACGTCTGGGTGGACAACAAATTCATTATCATAAACGGATCAATGTAAGCACATTGGCTTTAGTTTCTGTTGTGATTAAATATCAAACTGATCTAGATTCAAGGCCAGCTATCAACTCACCAAAATGTATAAGAGATCACTGGCTGGATTTGCGTGACGCCTAGAAAATAGCGAGTGAAGTCGCTTGTGGCTTCACGAAACGTTCTGTTTATAAGCACTGAGCTTCCACAGACTCCTTACAACTCATTTAAGCACGTCGGTCTACTCCTGGTAACCACGAGTTGGACAACAAATGTAGATCTTTAAGTAATGAAATTGTGCTTGAAGACCGAATCTGTTGGTTGAAATGTTCCAAGGAGTTGAAAGCAACAGTTGTATCTGATAACTGCCGGAAGCCCTTTAAATTAATCCGAGCCACTGGTAGCAAGACGTCTAGTATGAGTGAAAAAGTCTATAGAGCTGAAGAGATGCCAATCAATAGCATTTACCAACGACTTGGACGATGAACAGAGTTCCTCGAGGAACAGTCTAACTGGTCTGCTGCCCGGCGACATCGACCAGAATGTCCCTTCCTTCATGGCTGGTGACAATTCACCCATTTAACAGGGAGAGTGTTTGCAAGGAACTCAAACTCATGAAGCGTCACAAATCACGAGACCCAGATGGCTTACCTCCGATCCCTTTTAAGGATGGTGGCGACCTAGAGGTTATAGAACTGACTGAATTATTCGCAAACGTTTGGTAGTTAGAGCGATCCAACATCATGAAATGAATCAACAGCCGTCCCTATTTTTAAAAAGGGTTCACACCACCTATACAGCAACTATCGGGGTACAAGTGCTCTTCCGAGCCCAAACTATTGGCTTTCATCATGCTTCCCAGATTGTCCAAAACCCGAGAAAGATTGACTTGCGAAGAGCGGGCTGCTTTTCTTTCTGGTCGAGGATTTATTGATTATAACTTCACCCTCGACCAAATTTTAGAATACCGCCATACTTATTGCAGGCTAACAATCATTGTGTTGCCCGACATCAGGGCTGCCTTCAATTCGTTAGACAAGATTGTTCTCTGGGATAGTCTGTTGGGAGGTATCCCTGAGAAGCTTACTGATGTATTGAAGGCCTTATATACAAACACCCCAGGAGGAGCGAGAGAATACAACCACCTCTTTCCATTGTTTCATTCAAGAAATGGGATCATACAGGATTACGCAATCTTACCATTCCTATTTAAATTTGCCATCAAAGTCATTTTAAAAACAGCTCTGGTGGATGGAAGTAGTGGTGTTTTGAATATGTTGCCTGAAGAAAGACTTTCCGGTCTTGATTACGCGAATGATACTCAAGCCATGCAATCCGCATTTAATCAGTTGGCAATCAGTGTCCATAGACATGGCATGTGCTTTGCATCTTACCTTCTAAGTGCAAAGTACTTATACAGGACTGGGAGGACCCTGAAACAGCACTCACACTGGGTAGTGAACAGATAGAAGTAGTCGAGAAGTCCGTGTACCTGGGGAGCTGAATAAGTGCTGGTGGTGGCGTGAGTAATGAGATCAACTCACGTATCGTGAAAGCCAGAGAGTCTTACGACAATCTGAGCCATCTTTGGAGCCTTCGTGATGTTATTCTCTCTGTTAAAGGTCAGATCCACAACGCGTCGATGACAGCATTTTTGCCCTATGCTTTTGAAATCTGGCCTCTCCAAGTTGACATTATTGGACAACTGTATGTGTTTGATAATTGTTGTCTCTTAAAGATTCCTGACATCCAGTGGCAACACTATGTTAGTAATTTAACAACTGTTCGAGCACAGGGACGACAATTCAACTGATATCATCATTTCGAGACACAGAATTCGGTGGCTCGAACATGTACTACGAATGTCATCCTAGAAAATCCTAGATCGTGCATTATTTCCCGATACCTGGCCTGCTTGGAAAAAGCGGAGGTGATTAGCGCACGACATGGTGTCGTGTGAAAGAAAGTTATACGGGACTGGCTTTTGATGGTCATTTACGACTCTCTAGTCGGGGTCCCGTTCTAGAGATGGTGTAACACAATGGCTTCAAACGTTATCAGACACAACTCAGAACGGAAGCCAGTGGCGGTCCTGGTGTAACTTTCTTTTACTTTATTCTTTAACTGAAAGAAACCTTTCCAACTGTATTTTTCCTAACCGAACCGCTTCTTCTAGTATTTTTTTCACTTTCATACACTAATTCATTTTTTCGTTATTTTAATATTATACTTATTTTCCTTTCTTGATCCCTTCACAACCTTATTTTTATTGTGTGGGGTATATGTATATTGGCGGACTCTCCCAACCCTCGGCCGTATCAGGGCATTTGGGGGTCGTAAATAATGAGCTTACATGGAACCAACTTACACAATTCTAATGTTTGGTTCTTTATTTCAGAACCAGAAATTCAAACAATTAGGAAATGTATTATCTCAAAATAATTGATTCTGAAAATGATCCTGAAATCCGAATTTATAATTTGTTGTTAAAAATTACGTTGCAAATACAAAGCGGATTAGTGAGTATTGTGAAAAATTTACACGCAGACAAAAACATATTTTGACAGAGATACACTCCGATCCTGTGACTCAATATGTTAAGCATTTAACTTTTATTCAATGAGTAACTGACTAGAACAACTTTTCATCTATTTCGCTCTGAACAGCCGAGTAATACCACTAAAGGAAGATTTATAGACAAGTATGTTGTCTAAGTGATACGTAATTAAAATTGTATACTGCCCTTGAGAAAAGGTTAGTACAAATTCCACTTACCATACTAGTTATTTCTAAACACGTAGGGAACTGATGATTCGAAAGAAAGCATATATTGTATAAAACTACTAGTCAGCAAAACAGAATAAAGAACTAATGTGTTATGTCCCCATAAGAATAATGAATGATAATTTTTGGGATCCATTTGTGAACCGACACTATGCATATATTTTTATCGTATACTTGTTAAATAACTAAACTATTCATATTCATGCCCCCCTTATTATAAGCTTCATTTTGACCTATGAACTGTTATTATACGATTTACGATCCTTGAGTTATGCCCTCTCTATCATTTACTATTTCCCTTATTCACAGCCACATTTGGCTAAATCTTGTACAAATGTTGTTTTCCTATTTTATGGCCCGACCGTTGCTGCTACCTTGACGTGGTGGTCGGGCTTGCCTATCGTGATGAAGCAATCGAGCTATGCTGGCTGGAACAATCGTTCCTCAAGGTCCTACCATGCCAGACAGGTCGGTTGAAGAACGGTAAGACTAAAAGCATCAAACCCAAGGTCCGAAGGAGAAGTCGTACTGTCGACTGTACAGAGGTGTGACGGCAGTAAGGTGTTTCCTTCAGACAACCAGCATGACAGCGATGCTGCCTTCCCACAAGGAGGGGTGGGGTTAGAAAAGGTCGGCCCTAAAAATGCACACCTCGCCTTATCCCACGGATATCCGTCTCCGGCGGTAAGGTTTTTTTTTGAAGAACGGAGCTAACACAAAAACTACCCACAAAAAGGTCGTGTGTGACCGACCTCAAGCAGTTGTCCCTTGGGCACTGCGGTCACGCTCTCAGGTCATTAAGACCACTTCTAACCCAATTTCCTTTCCAGGTACCCCCAGGAGAACCCTTCCACGATGTGGGCAACCGGGAAGTGATAACTGCCCTCATACCTCTAACAGCACTCAAGACCACCGCATTCATAATCAATCTCCTTCAATTCCTACTATTCCTTCTACCTTGACTTTCAACACTAAACTTCCTCTTTCGGCTTCCTCCTCAAGTGTCACCATGGCCAACGATTCTAGTGCGCGAAACGCTGTCCCAGGTCTACTTAAACCTCGCTCCAAACTACACTTTGGAGCCTTCAACGTACGTACCCTATGCCAAATCGGTCAACAGGCCTCCTTAGCTAAAACCCTAGAATCTCGTACCATTGATGTATGCTGTGTCTCCGAAACACGCATACAGGATCCCAGTGTGGTCATTCACTTGACCTCACCTCGCCAAAATGGACAGCCAACGAAATACACCCTACGTGTATCTGGCGACCCGTTGGCTAGTTCTCGCGGACTTGCAGGTGTAGGCATAGCACTAAGTACAAGGGCAGAACAGGCACTATTAGAATGGATCCCCGTTAACAGTCGCCTGTGTGCTGTCCGGCTGAATGGCTCCGTAAGAACTCGGAAGGATAGGGACACACGTCGTTGCCTTTTCGTCATTTCTGCCTACGCTCCCACTGACTGCAGCCATGATGAAATGAAAGATGACTTTTACAGAAAGCTAAGCGCTCAGACATAGTACTCATAGCGGGTGACTTTAATGCCCAGGTAGGCAGCTTGAATCAAACAGAAAGACATTTAGGTGGGTGTTTTAGTATTCCGGCTCAACGAACCGATAATGGTGATCGTCTGTTGCAACTATGCTCAGACAATCGTTTATTTTTAGCAAGCACTAATTTTAAACATAAGGAGAGACATCGTCTAACATGGCGACCACCTGCACCAAACCAACGATGGACTCAAATAGACCATATTGTCATCAGTCATCGTTGGAGAGGCTGAACAGAAGATTGTCGCTCGTATTGGAATACTTGTTTAGACTCTGATCACGCTTTAATACGAGCGCGCATTTGTCTGCGCCTCAATGGACGCAGGAAAAGTACACTAAGAAGACCCATTAGGATTGAACTGGAGGACGAGAAAGCCAAATGCGAATTCCAGAAACAACTGAGTTCACATCTAGGCAGTTCTGTAAACAAGACTGACACAGATGCTGCTTGGAAAGACATACGAACAGCTGTGGAAACAGCAGTTACATCTATTAGTCATTTAAACCATAGGGCTCCAAAAAACCAATGGATTTCTTCTAAGTCTATTTCACTGATGGATTCGCGTAAACTCATTTCATCAGGCTCTGAACATGACGAAGAGCGTAAAGAAATTAGATCTAGGTTAACTAAAAGTCTAAGGAACGATCGTGAGCAGTGGTGGGCAACGAAAGCAAAAGAGATGGAAAAGGCAGCGGCTGTAAGGAACACCAGGCAACTTTTCAGACTAATAAAAGAAACCGGAATTAAGAAGTCAAGTGTAAGTGAGACAATCTCGGAAAAAGACGGAACCCTTATCTGCTCTCAATCCAAACGTTTAGAACGATGGGCGGAACACTTTAAGGAGCAGTTTAGCTGGCCTTCAGCTACTGCACAACTACCCACTATCCCCAGAAAACCTGAATGGAACATTGAAGTAGGCCCTCCGACCCTACTTGAAGTTCAAAAGGCTATAGGTAATCTGAAACGAGGAAGAGCAGCTGGTCCAGATGGATTGGCTCCAGAGGTCTTTAAATATGGTGGTCCGATTTTAGAGATTAGGTTGACTAATACTCTGGCTAAAATCTGGGAGACGGATGTAATCCCATCTGACTGGTCACAATCACTGATTGTCCCAATATACAAGAAGGGGTCAAAATCATCCTGCGATAACCATAGAGGGATTAGTATGACTAACATAGCATCTAAAATACTAGCCTCAATAATTATCGGGCGCCTAACTAAGACTCGTGAACTGCAAACACGAGAAAATCAGGCTGGCTTCAGACCTGGTCGTGGCTGTATCGACCACATATTCACCATTCGTCAAGTTTTAGAGCACAGACACGCTTATCGGCGTCCGACAATGACAGTTTTTCTTGACTTGAAAGCAGCACTTGACTCTGTAGACCGAGAGGTTCTGTGGCAGTGTCTGTCATTGAAAGGTGTACCTGAGAAGTACATAAACCTTGTGAAGGCTCTTTACTCGAACACTACCAGTCGAGTGAGAGCTTATGGCGAACTGTCATATGATTTTACAACCTCAAGTGGTGTCCGTCAAGGCTGTCCACTATCCCCATTTTTGTTTAACTTCATTATAGACCTGTTGCTGGAAATAACACTCTCTTCGACTGAATTTACAGGAATTGATCTCCTACCAGGGGGACCACTAAGCGACTTAGAATACGCAGATGACATAGTCCTGTTTGGTGAAGGCGCTGGCAAAATGCAGAGTCTTCTGTTGGAACTCAGTAATAATGCCAGGATGTTTGGGATGCGATTCTCCCCATCCAAATGTAAATTGTTACTCCAGGACTGGCCTGCATCAACACCTGAACTAAGGATAGGGAGTGAAGTAGTCGAACGCGTTGACAACTTCACTTATCTTGGAAGTCTGATCAGCCCTAATGGGTTGGTGTCTGACGAAATCTCAGCACGGATTCGAAAAGCTCGTTTGGCTTTTGCCAACTTACGTCACCTATGGCGAAGACGAGATATCCGTCTATCAATTAAAGGACGAGTATACTGCGCAGCAGTTCGCTCTGTTCTACTTTACGGTTGTGAAACATGGCCACTAAGAGTAGAAGATACTCGTAGGTTACTAGTATTTGACCACAGATGCCTTAGAAATATTGCTCGCATCTGCTGGGATCACCGGGTAAGTAATAGTGAGGTTAGACGCAGGGTATTAGGGAACGATGGTAAATCAGTTGATAAGGTCATAAATGTTCATCGACTGAGATGGTTGGGTCACATGTTACGTATGCCTGAACACCGATTACCACGACGCGCTATGATGACTAGTGTAGGGGATTGTTGGAAGAGAGTTAGGGGCGGCCAAACCAAAACATGGCATCAGTGTTTGAAGTCACTAACTTCTAGTCTGAGCCATGTTGGCAGATGCAGACTACCTGGTTGGGGTCCGTGTGACTAACGTAACCAATGGTTGGAGACTCTAGGTGACATGGCTCAGAATCGATCACAATGGCGTAGGTGTATACACTCTTTATCTTCCTTTAAACCTTGAGACTAAAATTGCTTCATATCTCTCCTCCTTCCTGTACTATATCCTTATATACAACCTATAATTTATATACTACTACCACCACTAAATTAATTACTTCTATGAACCCGGTGTTCATCTTGTTGTGCTAACGAGGTATGGCAACTTGGACCGATGCATAAATGTGCCTGGTCCTACGTTGTAGCTGACTGACTCCTATTTTATGGTACAATGTAGTCTGTCTGTTTGATAATATAAACCCAATATGCTTGAAATAAATCATTCATACAGCAGAGGTCGAGATTGATGTTCTAGACTTAACTGGCTCGGTTAGGCAGAATGCAGGACCGACAAATACTCTAGACTGCTCGTACGGGTTTTGTACCATTGGTCCAATCGATAATTCTCTGTTCTGTAATTGGTGGCATTATCACGTTATACATTAACAGGGCATTCATGCGGCACAAGTTATAACACAATGTCACCGTCTAGTGGGTGCAGATGAAATTTGCCAATGAGAACCTTTGGATAAACATCCATGATACCCTAAGTATCGATGTATGAATTCGTTGATCTATGCATACATTTCCTAACTACTTGTAAAGATCACATATTTTGTATGTTGAACTAACAAGGTAGCTGTGAAATATAACTGTGACAAATTGTTATGGATATAAAAAAGTACACTTTTTGAAAAAGTGACGTTAAGGAGCATTTATAATTAGTTACAAAACTTACGATTCCGAGGATCAGACCAAAGGAACGAAGCTTGATAAGGGAAATAATTATGATAAAACTTTTTATATATTTTAATTTTAAATTAAAACCATGCAACCAAAAAGTTGCATAAATGAATAAAAAAGGTATTTCTTACATAATACTATTCATAAAAACACTACAACTTAAGAAAGACCTTATGTATACAACATCCACCCACAGTGTCTAAAGTGATAAAGACAACCGAGAGAATAGATTTCTTGAGTGACTAACTACTCATAAGTCAGTTCTATAGGTTTATGCTTGACCGATAGAGAGAATATCTTCCAGACAAATTAATGAACTCTGTCAGCCAAACATTTGTGGTTTTTATCATTAATAGCTTTAAGTCAGGACAACATGGTTGGTTACAGACAATCCGTATGTCACTAAGCCGAAATCTTTAAAAAGAACTCAAAAAGAAATATCCAAATTCTAGGCTGGATAATAATTTGAAAAATATAACAAAGTGTCTAGGATCATCAGATCATAGGCTTCAATTTCATTGTATCTGCTCTGATTTTGGCGGACAAATTACCTCCAGAGCTGGTTTCCAATATCAATACCAGAAAAATGATTCAAAACGTAATTATGGAGGTGATCGTAACCTCTGTTATGGAGAAAACTATGTTACAACAAGTCTATATAAACCTCAAGAACAATAAACATACATTTACCCTGGTTTCAGCTTCAGAGACTACATGACAGTTGAAATAAAATGAAAAGAACCTTGTAGAAATGGAGAAAATAACCTAATTTCGTAATAATGATAATAACAAAATCCTTTGTGAATCAAAAGCTCCAAGATAAATGATTTTTAATACACTTGGGCGAAGAGAATAACAGCCAAAACATAAGTTTGCTACACTAACACTGGCAGCATGTCAAATAACTGAGTTAAGTTTAGTAATACAGGTGATCCATAAATAAATCTCAGCACGGATACAGAAGGCTCGTCTAGCTTTCGCCAACTTGCGTCATTTATGGCGTAGGCCAGATATCTGTCTAGCAACCAAAGGACGGGTTTACTGTGCAGCAATTCGTTCCGTTCTACTTTATGGTAGTGAAACATGGCCGATAAGAGTAGAGGACATTCGTTTTATTTTATTTATTTATTTAAACACATAAATATTGGTACAAGGAAGCACCAGATAAATATGCGCCTCACAAATCTCATTTGATTTGTGTGAGGGCTGTGATACTGCTCACGTGCCCAAACTGAAGCAGGTGGTTTTCTTAGGGGACCACACCCCGAGCCTTTGACCTAAAGGTCTAGTCCACAAGGCAGTGGAGCATCGTGAGAAGATGCAGTCCCATGGTAGCCGGTGACCAACAATTGATTCATACGCCATTTGTCCCTTCAGGATCCTGGAGCCCATGTGCACCATTGGTTTGGAATCAGGGTTTTCCAACCCCCCTAAGTGGACTTTCCGTGTCCACCAACCAGGTTAAAGCGCCGGACATTCGCTTTTGGTCCTCTCATTTTCGTAAACAACACAACCGCGAGAGAAAGTGAGTAGGACTTCCCTAGCAGAGGCTATGTATGCGTGGTCATGTGAAAGCATTTAGAGAGGGAGAGCTAACTCTCCACTCTCGGCCGTACCAGGGCATTTGGGAGCGACATTCGTAGGCTACTAGTCTTCGATGATAGGTGTCTTCGAAGCATTGCTTGTGTATCCTGGGACCACCGGGTAAGTAATGCAGTTGTTAGGAAACGGGTACTAGGTAATGATGGCAAATAGATTGATGAAGTAGTGAAACTTCATCAGTTGAGATGGCTGGGACGTGTTACGTATGCCCAACCACCGACTGCCCCCGACGTGCAATGTTTCATGGTGTAGGAGTAGGTTGGAAGAAAGCTAGGGGTGGCCAGACCAAAACGTGGCACAAAACAATGAAGTCACTGACAAGTGGACTGAGCCATGTTGGTAGGTGTAGACTACCTGGTTGGGATTCGCGAGATGATAGCAACCAATGGTTAGAGGCCTTGAATGACATGGCTCAAAATCGTTTGCAATGGCGAAGGTGCATCCACTCTTTGTGTTCTGCCAAATTCTAATCTTCTGAATTCTTTATGTCCCTATCCTTTTTCTCTTTTCAAATTTATTTAACTGCATTATACTCCTTCAATAAAATCTTCAAACCATAATCTTTCACATAATGCTTATTCTCGTACTACCTCTACCACTATGGGATTTGAACCGACAACTTCATCTCTGTGCTAATGAAGTATGGCAACTCGAACTGGTGTGCGTACGTACGTACGAAGTTCTACGTTGTGACTGACTGACCTTAATGATAGAAAGGTAGATCGTGTTTGACAATATTGATAAGTACGTACACCTGATTTTTTCTAACTCTGAAGAGTTGATATTCTCAAATGAAGGCAGTATCGTCATTCACATGTGAACCCTCAGTCCATTAGTTTGGGAAATGCTGACACATGAAAAACTATGCTATCAACTGAAAAGAAAAGAACAGGATAGTAAGATAATCAAAGTATACAAACCACACCAATGTATGCCCCCAAATGCCCTGGTACGGCCGAGGGTGGGGAGAGTCCGCCCTCCCTCTCCAAATGCTCTCACACAGCCACAGACCTCTAGGTCAAAGGCTCGGGGTGTGGTCCCCTAAGAAAACCACCAGCTTCAGTTTGGGCACGTGAGCAGTATCACAGCCCTCACACGAATCAAATGAGATTTGTGCGGCGCATATGTATTCGGTGCCCCTTTGTACCAATATTTATGCGTTAAAATAAATAAATAACACCAATGTTCCCTTAAAAACTGGGATTCTGGTCACAAAAAAGTGAAGTCACGTTCACGTAGATTCCAGTACACTATTCACTAGTTAGAATATTATGGGACTGAAGTCCACTAAACTAATAAATCACAAACTATTGAAACCCACTGCCATCCAAGTACTCAATTAAAACACCTGAAGGAAAACCAGGTGTCGCTCTTAACGCTCACTTTTGATTCTTGCCCTATTCCTTTCAATAAAAATAAGTAAGGTGTGTTCCGTATCTATCACGTCTTAAAATGAATACGCCGTTGTAATCACTAGAACCCGTCGCTGCTACGGTCATTTTGAGTGACACAGGACTGTTCTAATGTATGAGACCCTTGACTGTTAGCAGTTATTTCTGAAGACTATGCAGGAAACAGTGACATCAACTTTGAAGTATTAGGAAAAAAACAAGGATTTCACAAAATGGGAGGATTTCGCAACACAATTTTCTGTGAGATGACCCGTATCGGTGAAAAGCCACCCTGGCCAAACTGGTGTGCATCATTTGTTTAAGCAGTAGTAAACAGTGGAAGTAGGATATTTTGGGTCGGACCAAATTAAATATACTATAGCAATTCACAGGGTAAAAAGTGACTCGAGATTTGTAATTCGCACGCGAAAAGATACTCAAAATTACATTACCATGTAAGCTAAAGAGTCTAAACTGCGTAAATGTGGTCCAATAAAACTCTCCAATATGCTTCGATTGCGACTATAAGTTCTCGTGCTTCATACTTATTCTGATTGACCAAATATATACGATAACCGCGCGTACTTAAGCGCATCAGAAAATGTTGAAACCCATCTTGAACCCAATTTGTGAGAAATTCAAGATGGACAACTATAATGATTGACATATTTCTGCCCTTCTATATCACCTAGAGAAAGGGGAAGGGATTACCACAGCTTTCGAACATAATATACTATGGGGGATTTCGTAATTGTATTCGTTTAAGGATGAACACAAGTAATTCCTAATCAGGACCTAATACACTTTTCCAAAAACTTAAAAATGTACGTAAGACGGGATGGTGATGTTGATAAAACTACACATTTTGTGCTAAGAATCCTCTGCAATAGTTATAAGGGGCGATTAGTCGCACTATTATTAGGTCTGTTTTTGTTTTGCAGCGTACGTTAGAAATATATTGACTATAAAGCTATAAATTACACAAACAAGACTAAAATGTCATACCGAATTCGCACCAATTACGGATGATTTAAAATAAGAAAAATTCAACACTAGATGATTGAAGTAATTCTAGCCTACCGAAAAATTTGACGATTCCAAAGAAAAAGCTACATCCCATTCGAATAGGTTCAAGTAAAAACAAAGCAGTAGACCACAACCATGTGTGAGTGCTATTTCGTGACCTCAGTATTCGCTGATTTGGAGGGACCAACTCAACCTGGAAAGTTAATTGAAAGGGACAGACAAAACCTGTGGCACGGACGAAGCGTGTGATGCAGTACTTCTCTGCCTCAAACTAGAGTCTTCAAACCCCATTAGTTTATGTACGGCACGCTGAAAACTGATTATTAACATTAAAGACGCACTTCCAAGTTCCAAGAGCTTTCCTCCAAAAGCTTGAGTGCATCCAAGTAACCTATTCCACCAGCGATTTCTCGTAAGTGCTGGACATCCTGAGCTTCTGATTCTGACAGAGCATGCGCCTCATCTACATTATCGTTATCCGACATCTCCGTTGAAGTCTAGTAGCGAAACTTTTGAAAAGTCACAAATCACTTTTTGTTTAATTCTCAATAAAGTCAGTATCCATTAAAAGCACGGAGTGAATAGACTAGTCTCTTCGAGGCGTCATCATAATTCTGATGAGTCCATACTGGTCTCTGATGAGCTCAGACTAACGAATATAAACTCTGAGTTCCAGTATTAGTGAACTCTACAGGTAGTAAAATAGAATGATTATGCACTTACATACCTACAAAAATAAGTAGACGTGAAGACTCTACAAGGTCTTGGGGGTGATTCTAGCTAGTGTACTGTATGAGAAGGGGACCCCAACCCCCAGGGTTTCCATAAACTTTAATTTTATGAAATGTCTTTATCGATTTATTTTCATTTCAAGTTTAACTAACTTTCGACTGTTTAGACGACATAATTACAGGAAAATGGCTCAAAAAGGCAAGAACAGAAAAAATGGGGATCAATTCGCATTCGTATATTGATGTGAACGATGAATTGTTGATAAACATGTTCATAACTCATGTATTTGTCAGTTTGGTTCAGTTAAGTTTTGACTGAGCAAAGTCTATTGATGTGGAATCAGTTAATGCAAAGACTATATTTAAGTAGATAAGGAAACTTGTTAGCTAGTGAAGTTGGGATTGCTTTTGTGCTATGTTTTTGATGGTAAATGTACTTAATCATACATTTTTTGGTTATGTAACGAGAACATCGAAAACGAAAAGCGAGAAATTGACAGAATTTTTAAAGAACACTCTAAATCTTTACCTAATTGCGTTGAAATAAACTCGGCATTAGCAGTTCGGGCCTCTTGTAACTAGACATCGTAATCGTTAAATTTTCTTCACATTTTCTGTTGTGTTTGATTTATTAGAGTCTCATTAATTTGACGTTAGCTGTTGAACTTTACTTCGAACGTTTATTATCACCTTTAGTGTGAGTGACCTGATTTTGTAATACGCTATTAAAAGTATAAACATTCGGCGCTATACCGAAAACTAAGAGGAGTGATGATGAGACGAGAAACGTGTAAAGCAAAATAACTACAAAGTCCATTGTTCATCTCTTTGTCTTTATCTTAATAGAATGTGAGATATTCTATATATATGCACTTTTCACACTATATCCAAGACGAAAGGAGTAATGCTGATCTACTTATAAGCGTGTATTTGTTGTAGCTAAGCTGTTCAAGCTTTTCATGCACAGACCACAGAGATTTAATATTTCATGTGTACCATCAAGCATACTTTGCTCCTTGGTTGTTGTAGTACTATAGTACTAAAATCTAATTTCTCCATCCACCGACTGTACTTTAGAGTATTTGTTTTCAAAGGTAACATATAAATCCATCGTTTTTAAGTTCGTTTTGATAAGAGTTAGGTTGTAATGTAAAACTTACTTCATTCGGTTGGAAAGTTAAGTCACAAACCTGCAAGAAAAGCCAATTTTCTAGTGTGGGTGAAATGTATTTTCATTTAAAAGACTCTTGAAACAAAATTTCTCAGTTTAATTCTGCACGTTACACTTAGTCTTACTCCATCTGGGCAAAGTGGTAGTCAAAGACAAATACAAAGTAAATTGTAAGTTAAGACGTCACAAGTATTCAGAGTTTGACAACACCTTAATCATTAATATCTTTTGTAATTGAAACGTGTCATCCTAGTGAAGTCAGAAGTCAGAAGCGAAGAAGCTCGAATATATATTTGATAGAATAAGGACATATCGAGATGTGACGAATCTGAGTTTGCTAGCGGTTATAAGAGATATCAACCAGATCATCGATCTCCGTCAAGGACAATCAACGCGCATCATTTAACCATACTCCATGGACCGGCCCATGCAGCAGTGGTTCTACTTTCGTTTGTATCTACTTTAACTAATATACTCTTGTAATAACGTCCTTTGTGTTGAACAGTCTTCACAGCATCCATGGTCCATTGATACGTCGATGGCGGAATCCATGTCAGGTGTTGATCGCCAGATGTGACTTTGAAGTTAGCTTGTTCGTTACATTGTTCCCATCTAACCCGAGTAGACCATCATCAACGTTGATGGTCTACAATACAATATACCACACAATAGTTTTAGAATTATCAGTAAATGTGATAGTAGCAGAACACATTAAAAGCGTCAAAAGACCCATAAATACTGACACAAGTGAGAAGCTAATAACAGAAAACAAAGCTACTACAGAGATGATAATCGAACTCTATGTGCAGATCTTGACAGTTCAGGGACACTGTTTAGTTTTACTGAGACTGGTGGAAATTTCATACTGAATTATCCAAATGCAATCAAACATGAGTTCAAAACAAACAGACAATCAGGAACAAATAACTCCTCCACAGATAGCGACCGTTTAGGAGTTATGTAGCAATATGCGTTTATTTTACGTTAGAGGAGAGAGTTTCGTCAGGAAGCTTCTTGTAGATACTGTAGAACATCAACGTTGATGTTCTATGTCAAAATGATTGGCGGCCTACTATAGTTAGACGAGAACGGTGACGAACCAACTAACGCTGAAGTCACACCTCGCGACCGACCCTTACGTGGTTTGAACCATCGACGCATCAAAGGATCATGGACGCTATGGAGACTGTACAACACAAAGGACGTTATTACAAGAATATATTTGTTAAGGTACAACCACTGAAAGTACAGAAGTGAAAGAACAACCACTTCCGCGTGAGCCAGTCCATGGCAAATAATTGACTGATGCGCGTTGACTATCCTTGACCTTGACAGGGATCGATGATCTGTTCGATATTCAGTGACATTTCACCGACCCTTCAATACCGATGAGAAACGTTAAGTTTGCCGCAAGAGTAGTGATGTCACAGTGATAGTACGATAAGTGTATTATCAATCGATGCCGATGTTTGTACTGCCCTCGGTTCTGAGTATAATGTCAGTAAGTGACGTTGACAACTGTTTGTAAGCGTCGATTTCTAGTTATATGTATATGTAACAGACTAACTGTAAGTACAGAAGTACAACCGTGAAGATAAGTCGTGATTTCGTTGTGCGAAGCTTCTGATCACCTTGTAGTCAGTTTGGAAAAACTGATAACTGTTGTTGCAATCAAGAAGGGTCGAAAAAAATACAGATCGAGAGCGAAGGTGGCATGATGAAGTCTCTAAAAGATGATAAACGGTGGGTGCTGCATGTTTGTTTGATGAGTGAACCGAAAAATGTCGAAAAGAACATAAGAAACCAAGAGTGCCACTCTGGACTCATGTCAATGATATCGGTGAAAATGCTGTCAGTGTTGGGGTCGAGACGACAATATCGTTGTCAGTTTGCAGGAGATGCTCTCGACTGCGTAAACTGAAGATTCGCGTGAATGAACCACCAATTGAACTGGACAGGCTTTAGATCGTCGAGTAGTTGAACAGCCGATTGATGTACCAAAACCATCTGTTAGATAAGAGCCACGCGGAAACAATACTTCATAAGATAAAAATACGACGTCGAATTTGGGTAACTACAATAGTTCGGATGTGTTGTAATGTCACATCGAAGTAACGTCATTTCGTATACTGACAATTGTACTGAACGTTTGTTTGGGCATTGTTTATGTAGCAATTGGATGTGCAGTAGCAAACATTATCGTGGGGTTCGTGGAGAGTTTCAGAGGTCGTTTAGATATTTTCCAAACCCGTGTTGCATGTGAATAAACTGAAGACGGAATTCAAGTGACTTTCGTACGATAAGGAAATCGAGCCATGATTTACCGTGAGATAACAGCAAATACAGAGCGCATAGTAAACAATTATTAAAATGGTAACCACCAATGTAACTAAAGTTTAGGTTTAGATAACGTGAGCTTATTATCTCGTGTTAAGTGACATTAAATACGATGAATGTCTGGTAAGGACATGAACTAAGATTGCTCGTGTACACATAATACGTTTTTCTACAGCATGGCGACTTACGAGTCATAAATGTACATGGTTTCGACTAAAACTTGAAGGTAGTGACAGAATATATGACTACTTTAAGTAAAAATAGTCGCGAAATGTTATTAGACATCTTAAACATTATACGAAATTATTTAACACAGTTATGAAACTCGCCTGGGTTACTCTTGCTCCCAAGTAATTGAAATTTGCTGATGAAATTCGTAGATTAACGAAGCATTGTAGTCTGAATTTGTATAAGTCCAAATTTAATTTAAGCCAAACACGTAGAATTGCCTGACGAACAGTCTAAACAAGATCTAATATTGAGGGAAATTTATAGTTCAAACTCACCGTAAATTTCTAGCATTCGTATCCTCTGATTCGCCATGGAACTCAGCAATTGGAAATTAGGCAGGCAGTGGTCAAGAAAGTAAAATATTCTTGTAGATAGTTTCTTATAGTAGTTAGTTGATAGTGATTAAGCAGAAAGATGAATATATAATCGACAGTTAATCCTGTATCGCTTATTCAAGTGGATAAGTTGCAAACAGATATGCGTTCGTGTTGCCTTGAGACTATACATACGAGTGGTTGATATTTTCACAGACATATTACACAGGAACATTTACACGCTGCTAATGCTTGTTAAAGAACCACGATAGTGGATTATAGTCGTAGTTGATTGATTATTTCTATTGATTGAACTAATTATTTCAGTTGAAATACTAATCAACATTGATATGAAGCAACGAATGTTCACAGAAACTGATAAAGATAGCCGAAGTTAAAAATGAAAAATAATAAGTATAGAATGCAATAAAAAAGATCATAATGATAGGTTGTGTTATTCGAAGTCTTGCTCACCAGTGTAAGATCATCAACGTTGATGTTCTATGTCAAAATGATTGGCGGCCTACTATAGTTAGACGAGAACGGTGACGAACCAACTAATGCTGAAGTCACACCTCGCGACCAGCACCTTACGTGGATTGCCCTCATCGACGTAACAAGGGGCCATGGATGCTATGGAGACTGTACAACACAAAGGACGTCATTACAAGAATACTTTAGTTAAGGTACAACCACGACAG